GTTTAACTGAAACCATCTCAAGATTATGTCATATTCAGTTGGAAAAGAGAAACTTCTTACTATTGACTGGGGAAAAATATCTGGATAAGAAATGGGTTAGAAAATAAAGGCATTTTAATAAATGATGCCATCAGCTGTATAGGAGAAATGAACCTATTAACGTTTATGAAACTGAAATGAGCTAGTTTCTGGGTAGAGGATGTTGACACTAGTAACATTGAGGCCGATATTGGCAGTAGTGATAATAGCAGCTGGCATCTTTTTACCTGCTGGGCACTATCTGAGTGCTTTACATGTGATGACTCTTATAAAATCTTTGCAGCAACGCTGTGAGATAAAAGGTACTATTATTATCCTCATTTTATAGAAATTAAGGGATAGAGAAATTAAGTAACTTGTCAAAGGCCTGACAAGATAGTAAGGTTTTCCCTCTGAAACGAAACTTTCTATTGTTTTTTACCCAGTTAGAAACAATTCTGGTCTTCTGCAACCTGACCGTAGCATTTTTGTATTTGCTTTGATCCATTAAATCTCACTTTACAGTAGCCTCAGTGTATTCTTCTAACTCTAGGAGTCCAATTATCCTCTTGCAACCGTTGCTTGCAGTACTCTCAGATGAGAACTTCAGCTATCACATGTCTATGTGGAATGCAGGAACGATGCCAGAATGGCTGGGACACAAGTGTAGGGTGTCAATGCCATTCCGAAAACAGATTCAGAACTGCTGATGTCCGAAGTTACCTTTTAGAGATGAGCTGATGGCTGGCAGAATTTCTGTTGGAAAGTGTAGGTGAATAGAAACGAAAACATACAAGGATACTTTTCATTTTTATGTTTCTAATGAAAATTTTGGGTACAGGTAGGATTTAATTGGTCAAGATTTATTTATAATTTTTTTCTGTAGTATTGCTTAAGTATTGGAAAATGTTCAAATTTGTTTATACTGTTGTTGTTCAGTGCCGTAGAGTTGGTTCCAACTCATAGTGACCCTGTATAGGGTTTCTGAGGTGCATTTGAACCACCAACCTTGAGGTTAACAGTTCAGTGAGTATCCTACAGCACCACACCAGGACCCCTACTATACTCTATGATACTCATATCCCACTAAGTTTCTAATTGGAATAGGCACAAAGACCTTGTCACTTGTGGCTATTTTAGGTTATACTTTAAGAAGGGAAGGTTATCTAGGAAGATTGTCCTTCCTTCCTTGATATACTTCCAGATATGAGATAAATGCAAAGTTTGTACTTTGCCCTGTTTTTTTTTTTTTAAAGGAAAGTTAATTGAGACTTGTGATGTGATGTGCTGAATGTCTATTTGAAAAATATTTTCATATTTGGTCTATAATTATTGTGTATTTTTTATAAATTGGAAAACAGAAATAAAACATTCATTTTTAAAACAAAGTCATCCGGCGTTATTGGGTCTTTGAACTGGATTTAGGAACTATAGACAAGCAAAGACATTTTTTTCTTTCAGTGTAAGCAGATGTCAGTTCCTTTTGGAATATTATACATTTTGTCTGTAGGGATGATTAGTTCTTCATCTGACTATTTGTGCATATCAAATATTGCTTTAAAAATTGCTTTCAACTGTGTTTCTTAGAAATTGAATGGGAAAATATCCTCCTTGTCTTTTGATTAATATTTTTAGGCTAAAGAAAGATCAGATATTTTTGCTTTTGGTATGTTGTTAGATGCATCTAGTTGATTCCAACTCATAGCAACCCAGTGCACAGCCGAATGAAACACTGCACGACCCTGGACTGTCCTCCTCATCATTGCTGTGTGAGAGCCCACTGTTGCAGCCATTGCATCTCTCAATCCATCTCATTGCAGATCTTTCTCTTTTACATTGACCCTTTCTGTACCAAGCATGATGTCCTTCTCCTCTTGATAACATGTCCAAAGTATATGAGACAAAGTCTCACGATCCTAAGGAATTCTCACAATCCTAAAGAACCTTCTGGGTGTCCTTCTTCCAAAACAGGTATCTTTATTCTTTTCTCAGTCCTTGGTATGGTGGATAACCTTTGCTAACACCATAATCCAGAGGTATCACTTCTCCGGTCTTCCTTATTTATTTCCCAACTTTTGCATGCATATAATGTGATAGAAAATACAATGGTTTGAATCTGGTGCACCTTATTCCTTAAAGTGACATCTTTGCTTTTTAACACTTTAAAAAAAAAATTTTTTTATAAGAGGTCTTTTGCAGCAAGATTGCCCAATGCAATCCACTATTTGATATCTTGATTACTGCTTCCAAGGGTGTTGATTGTGGATCCAACCAAAATGAGATCTGTGGCAACTATAATCTTTTCTCTATTTGTCTTGATGTTGCTTACTGGTTCAGTTGTGTTTTTTTATGTTGAGGTATAATCCATACTGAATACTGTAATCTTTGATCTTTAGCAGTAAGTGCTTCAAGTTCTCTTAGCTTTTAGCAAGAAAAGCTCTGTCACCTGTATACAACCTGTATAGTGAGAGAAAGCTTGAATTCATAAAGTATTTGTTGAAACAATGTTTCAATACTCGGAGGTTTTTTTTTGTTTTGTTTTGTTTTCCCAACTGCTAGACAGTTTATGTTTTTAAAATATTTTAAGTCATTTTTGACTTTTGTAAATTATTCTGGAAGAATACCTTACTTGTTTGTCTCAATTTATATTTAAATTGTCGATGTTTCACCCTGCTAATGAGTGATATCTTCCATCCTATGGGTGTTTAGAATTCAGCATTAAATTATTATTTTGGTTTGTGATACCTATATTACACATTTGTTTTCCATATAAGCATACACATATATTATGTATATCTTACACATATGGTGCTAAAGTTTAAACACCCACAAGTAGCTTGGTGAGAGTCTGCTGCTGGGAACCCAACCTCTGTCCTCTGTGTCAACAAGCACCAAGGTGACAACTTCACATTCAGTTTATTGGTGGTGGAAGGAATTGAAATCAGAAACATATAAAAGAGCACTTACGAAATTATGTGTGGAATTGTGCGCTGTTGAAAAACGTAATTCATGTATTGTTATTAAGTGCCGGTGAGCCAGTGCAAACTTATGCCAACCCTCTAAATATAGGGTTTTTGAAGCTGTACATCTTTGCAGGAGCAGAAAGCCTCATCTTTCTCCTACAGATCATCAGGTGGGCTCAAACTGCTGCCAACCTTGTGATTTGTAATCCAGTGCTTATCCTACAGAGCAAACACATTCCCCAGTTAATTTAATTCGTTACTTAAGTGAAAATACAGTATTCTGAGTTCAAAGAAACCAAACTTCTTTGTCCTGTTGCACATATGTGTATGCACATTTATATATGTGTATAAGTATAAACTCAAGATAAAGGTTTATTACAAACATAGGTATGTGATTCATGTATATGTACACACCTGTTTACTTGGTATTTATGAAGAAGAGATACAACTGGCTGTTGACTCACTTTTATCAGCATGTTATGTCCTATTTTACCTTTTTGGGTGTTATGATTGTGGTGTTGTAAGGCTCTTTGAGAGCACATTTTAATCAGTATGGTATAATTTTTCTTAATTTCAATCAAAAGTAGAATAGTTGAGAACTAGAATCCCAATCACTTGTGACAGAAACTAGACTAAGTTAAAATATGCAAGTAAATTAAAAACATGCTTATAATGTTGTTGCTGTTAAGTGCCATCGAGTAAATTCTGACTCAGTTCTCTGTATAGGGTCTTGAAGGCACTAACAACAACAATAGGGTTTCTAAGTTGTATATCTTTGTGCGAGCAGAAATCTTCATCTTTTTCCTGGAGAGTGGCTGGTGGGCTTGAACCTCTGATCTTGTGATTTGTAATCCAGTGCTTAGCCTCTAGAATAATTATTAAATCATCTTAGTACAATTTAAAAATCATTTTTATTTTGGAAATCGTTACGTGCCATCTAGTCGGTTTCTACTCATAGCAACTCTATATAGGTTTTCAAAGGAGTGAGTGTAAATCTGAACCACCGTCCTTGCAGTTCAAATTGACTTTGTGGTCTAGTGCTTATCCTACAGCACCACATCAGGACTATGTCTTAATTTAGTTCAGAAATGAAAGTCCTGTCCTTTCTCCCTAATCAAACCCCCCTGGTACACTCATAAAACAGCCACTATTAACAGTTGATAAGTAGTCTTCCAGAAGTGTCCTATGCATGTACAAGTGTATGTGTATGGATATGTGCATGAGTGTGTATATGGAATTGTACACACGTATACATAAGACGTAGCTATGTATACTTTTTTTTAAAGCTAGTATTTTTATAAGGCATTTTGAATCACTTAAGTAAGTTCCTTAAAATGTCTATTGAGGAAAAGTGACTAAATTGATGCCTTTATTAAAATATAGTTGTCTTTTTTTACATGTGCATTTGAAGCCCTCTAATTATTCTGGTAATATAGATGAGGAATAAAATTTCTTTAATGTAGTTTGAGACTAGATTAGGCTTTAAATTCTTATTTTTATGAAAACATAGAAAACTTCATTTATGTGTAAGATTGTGCTCTTAGTACATGTTCTAAAAATAGTCGGTTATACTTGGGGAGTGGGGTTATTCTTTATGGTTAGGTTGAGGAATAGGTAGGGAAGGTGAGTGTTAATTAATTTGCATTCTAAAATACTGTATATTTACGTTTTTTTTCTTTTAAGCTCTGAGAAAATTCTGCTTTTATTAAAATAGTGTTAGAAAATATTATTTAAAACATGTAGTAACATAAAGGAGTCCCTAGGTGGTGCAAACAGTTAACATGCTCAACTGCTGACTGGTTAGAGTTTGGAGTCCACCCGGAGGTGCTTTGGAAGAAAGATCTGGCGATGTACTTGTGAAAAATCAAACACTAAAATTTCTGTGGTGCACAGTACTGTCTGATACAGAAGAATCGACTCAACAGCAACTGGTCTGGCTTTGGTGATATAAAGGTAAACTTTGAAAAAAATGTCCTCATAACGAAACTCATTTTGTGCTTTTATTGATTTTGGTTTTAGGCTTGTGTGGATGTCCGAGCCAGTTCCGTATTTTGGCAGCAGATGGAGTTCGCAGATAAGCTCCATGGTCACCCCAAGTTGCCAGCATGGTTATCCACACACCCTTCTCATGGAAATCGAGCTGAGTGCTTAGATAGACTTATACCTCAGGTGAGCTAAAACTGTAGAAAGAAAAGAATTGTGGTTATGGCATCATAGTTTAATTTTGTTATTTCTATGCTTAGAAAGAGCTCTAGTCCATCA